ACCCACTCCCCCTGCTTGTGTTCCCCTCTCTCGCTATCTCTCTCTCTGTCAAATAAATAAATAAAATCTTTAAAATATATATATATATAAACATTGATTTTGTATATAGACACCTTTTCAGGTTCTAGTCTTCTTAGTTCTAATAGCCATCTTTGCTCAATTTTTTTTATAGTTTTTGTTTTTGTTTTTGTTTTAAAGATTTTATTTATTCATTTGAGACACAGAGATACAGAGACAGAGAGAGAGCATGAGCAGGGAGAGAGGCAAAGGGAGAGGGAGAAGCAGGCTCCTCGCTGAGCCAGGAGCCTGATGTGGGGCTCGATCCCAGGACCCTGGGATCATGACCTGAGCCGAAGGCAGACACTTAACCGACTGAGCCACCCAGGCACCCCTGCTCAATTTTTAATGTAAATAATTATATAATCTGCTCTGAGTGACATAAACTTAAGGAATTAAATGTCCTTAATAGTTTTTTTTTCTTATCACAGAATTTGGTTGTAATTTCCACTATTATTACTAATTAGCTCCATTATTAATGAGCAGAACTAACAATAGCAGGCATTCCTTTTTTTGTTTTTAGTCTTAGATGTAAACTCCTAAAGTTTCCCCAGTAAGTTTACTTACTGTAGGTTTTGGTAGGTAGTCTTTATTAGGTTTCTTAGTTTTCTAAGAACTTTTATTTTAAATAGGGATTAAACTTAAGCAATGACTTTTTCTGCACCTATTAAGATAAATATGTGGGATTTCTCTTTAGCCTACTAATATAATAAATTACCCTGGTTGATTTTCAGATGTTAAATTATCTTTGTATTTCCAGGAAGACCCTGTTTGGAAAAAAACTTTTTTCTAATACAATGTTGGATTCAGTTAGCTAATATTTCATAGAGAATGTTTGCCTCTACATTCATAAATGTAATTTTTCTTACTTGTACCTCCTCTCCAGTGTGGTATCAAGGTTATTCTACTCTTGTAAGTGAGTTCGGTGTTTCCTCTCTTGTTCTGTTCTCAGCAAAAACCTGTATAAGATAAGATTAATCGCTTTTTAAAGGATTTGGTAAAAAGTCACCTCTAAAATCATCTATGCCTGGCTTTTAAATTGGAAATTGCCATTTCAGTTTTTTGAGTGATTATTAACTTATTCAATTATTCTTAAGATAATTTTGGTATTTGATGGCTTCCCAGAAATTTTACACTTCATTTAAGTTTTCAAATTTATTGGCTTTATGGTATATATCTAGAATTATTTTCCCCTTGATTTGTGTCTTCCTTGTTTTTGACATTCTTGAACAGATTTGGCAGTGGTATGTCAAATTTATAAGTTTTTTGAATAATTACGCTTCAGTTTTTGTTAATCTGTATTTGTTTTAGTCTTTATATTTTAATTCTTTTCTTCTTTATGTTTACTCTGCTGGTTTTTGCCTATGAAGTCTATTCCATTAAAAGAAAAAATGGATTAAATTATTTATTACTTATTATATTAAAATGTCTGTTATGTGATTTGTAACTCGTTTTTACTTTAAAATACAATAATTATATAAACATGTAATTATTACTTACAGAACTAACAAAGGGACACCGTCATGATTTTAAAAATTCAAACAATATGAATAAAGCAAAAGCTCCTTTTGAGATTCCCTATGCTCAAAACTGATTTGAATAGTTAAGGATTTAACATAGCTATTAAGTGGCATAGTCTAGATTTGAACTGAGGTCTTCAGATTTCGAGTTCCACACTTCTACATTAAAAGATTTCTTCTTCAGGGCGCCTGGGTGGCTCAGTTGGTTAAGCGACTGCCTTCGGCTCAGGTCATGATCCTGGAGTCCTGGGATCGAGTCCCACATCAGGCTCCCAGCTCAGCTCCCTCTGACCCTCTCCCCTCTCATGCTGTTTCTCTCTCTCTCATAAATAAATAAATAAAATCTTAAAAAAAAAAAAAGATTTCTGGGGCACCTGGGTGGCTCAGTCGTTAAGTGTCTGCCTTCAGCTCAGGTCATGATCCCGGAGTCCTGGGATCCAGCCCCGCATCGGGCTCCCTGCTCTGCGGGAAGCCTGCTTCTCCCTCTCTCACTCCCCCTGCTTGTGTTCCTTCTCTCACTGTGTCTCTCTCTATCAAATAAATAAAATCTTAAAAAAAAAAAAAGATTTCTTCTTCAATCCGTGTATTTGTTGCATGAACATATGAATAGATCTTAAAGGTGGTGAATGCTTTCAACCTCCACGTGCTGGTTGATGTTTGAAATTCGTCCTTAAAATTTCATTCCTCTTTGCTTAATGCCTTAACAACATTGTAAATTGTAGTGCTTATCAGTCAGAATTGTTACTAGACATGTATATATTTTATTAAGAAATAAAAATAAAAACTATGTTTATATTTTTCTCAATATAGAAATACATGCTTAATATAGAAAATGTGAAAACAGAGAACTACGAAGGTAAAAAAAATCACATGTAATATCATCATCCAGAAATAAAATATATGTGTTGCACGATTTACAAAAATATTTTTATATACTGGTGAATATATCTGTGTCAAGTATTTTTCTAAAACAAACTTTAATGACTACATCATATTCCATACTGTCCACATACCATAATTTATTTAACCCATCTCCTTTGGGGGGACACTTGGATTGTTTACAATTTTTCATGGTTTTAAATAATATTTTACCAAATATTTATTTGTATTTTTAAATATATTTATATTTGGTTATATATTTATAGCTAAGTGTCTGTCCACTTATTTTCCTAGAATTGCTGCGTCAAAAGATCTTCACATTATAAATTTTGAAGATTTTTTTTTTTTTTTGACAGAGCACAAGCAGAGGGAGAGAGAGGGAGAAGCAGGCTCCCTGCTGAGCAAGGAGCCCAATGTGGGACTCGATCCCAGGACCCTGGGATCATGACCCGGGCTGAAGGCAGCCGCTTAACCGACTGAGCCACCCAGGCGTCCCACACATCATAAATTTTGAATAATTTTCCCAAATAGTCCATAACAATGTGATAGACAATTTTATGTGTCAACTTGAGTAGGCTATAATACCCAGTTATTCAATCAAATACTAATCTACGTGTTTCTGGGAAAGTATTAGTGATTAATATTTACAAGCAGTTGACTTTATGTAAAGAAAATTATTTTGGGATGATGTGGGTAGGCTTGACCCAACCAGTTAAAAGGCTTTAAGAGGAGAATAGAGGTTTTCCTAAAAAGGAATGGTGCCTGTGGACTGCAGTATCAGGTCCTGCCCAAGGATTTCCATTCTGCTCCTTTAAGAGCCACTGAATTTGCCTCTTAATAAAAAAAAAAAGAAAGAAGAAAGGAAGGAAGAAGAATTTCCGTTCTGCCCTTATTGACAACTTGCCCCAGAAATTTTGGATTTGCCTAGCCAGCCCTCACAATCACAGAAGACAATTCTTTGTGATAAATTTCTTGCCCTCTGAATCCTGACTGATACACACTGTAACCCTCCCACCGGCCAAGTATCGACCCATTTAATTTTCACAACCTACAAGGTAGGTATTATTAGTACTCCAGTTTTATAGATGAAGTGCCTGAAGCTCACAAAGATGAAGTGACTTCACTTGCAAAACTGCATCTCACTTACTAGCTCTGGAAAGAAACCTCCAGACCAACTGTTAAGCCGGGAATAGACCAGCAGCAGCCCCTCTCCAAGGATGTTAGAAATGCACACTCAGGCCTCATCTCTGACCCAGTGAATTAGAATGTGCAGCTTAACAAGATCACAAGTGATTCTTAAGTATAAAATTTGAAAAACACTCAACAATATATCAATTTCCTAAGTCTCACCTCTAAAGTAATTCAACACACACACACACACACACACACACACACACACACAGCCATACTCCAAGTCCAGGTCTAACAAGATCACAGGTGATTCTTAAGTATAAAATTTGAAAAACACTCAACAATGTATCAATTTCCTAAGTCTCACCTCTAAAGTAATTCAACACACACACACACACACACACACACACACAGCCATACTCCAAGTCCAGGTCTAACAAGATCACAGGTGATTCTTAAGTATAAAATTTGAAAAACACTCAACAATGTATCAATTTCCTAAGTCTCACCTCTAAAGTAATTCAACACACACACACACACACACACACACACACACAGCCATACTCCAAGTCCAGGTCTAACAAGATCACAGGTGATTCTTAAGTATAAAATTTGAAAAACACTCAACAATGTATCAATTTCCTAAGTCTCACCTCTAAAGTAATTCAACACACACACACACACACACACACACAGCCATACTCCAAGTCCAGGTCTAACAAGATCACAGGTGATTCTTAAGTATAAAATTTGAAAAACACTCAACAATGTATCAATTTCCTAAGTCTCACCTCTAAAGTAATTCAACACACACACACACACACACACACACAGCCATACTCCAAGTCCAGGTCTAACAAGATCACAGGTGATTCTTAAGTATAAAATTTGAAAAACACTCAACAATGTATCAATTTCCTAAGTCTCACCTCTAAAGTAATTAATTCAATACACACACACAGAGCCATACTCCAAGCCCAGGAAACCAATCACACAACAGAAGAGAGTACAGGAAGCCAATTACACAACGGAAGAGAGTACTGGAGCAGTCAAGAGGTTTTCCTTTATTGGGGCTGCTGCGGCAAGCAGAAATCCCTTTTGCCTGGCAGCCCAAACCCCACCTCGTCCCAGTTCACCCCACCTCCTTTTTAGATCTCCCTCACTAAAGTGGAAGCTTGCGATGCCTAAACTAGGCAGAGCTTTGGAGACTTTGATGGGAGAAGAGACGGGAGGCCGACACACGGGGAGAACGCAAACCATTCTGGTATCATTCCCTCGCCTCAACAAGCCCAGCCTTCTGCCCTTAAGAAAAATGGCTGCCGGCGTAGCTCCACTTCCGGCCACGGAGCCAAACAAAATCGGGGCGGAGAAGAAACCGGAAGTGACCGCCCTTTTGGCACTCCTCCCACCTCCTCTCCTTTTCCCAGCTTCTCCTGGGAGGATGAGGAGGCCTGGGGGCTGAGGCTGGTCTACGGTTGCCGGGTGACAAGTTGGAGCCGGGACAGTGGGAGTGCTCGCTGCCTCGGCCGTCGGCCCGTTCACTTCGCTCGGGGTGACCTTCGTCGGCCAGGGACAGGGGGCGGGGAGTCGTGCGCCGGAGCTCTGTGACGAGGCGCCGCCGCGGGTCCGCGGGAAAGGAGCTAGCGAGCGGATTTGCGAGCGGGGCCCTCGGCCGGGTCGAGCCCGCGGAGCCCGCGAGGCCGGAGCCCGGGGCCTGGGGAGCCGGGTCTGGGGCTGGCGCTCGCGAGCCGGTTTGAGGTCCGGTCCCTAGCTCTGCGGGCGGGGCTCCAGCGCCCGGTGTGGAAGGCCTTTCCCCAAGGTAGGTGTTCCCAGCCGGTTGAACCGGGTCGTTGCCCTCTCCCCGCTTTTCCCACGCAGCTCCTTCACCAAGTCATTTCCTGACCCTCTGGAAGGCTCGGCCTTTTTTTTGTGGCCGCTCTGCTCCATTTCACACGCATACATACCGGCAGTAGACTGGCGCGTAATCGTTTTTGTTTGGTGTCTTTTTCATGAGAAGTTGCCAGAAAAGGAGATTTGTTATAACTTACATTCTTTGAAGTTCTTGGTGCTTTGGCTGGAAGCGTTCATGCTCGCTTTAAGCCTTGCCTGCTTGTTTGTTGTGATGAGAACTAGTTTTTTTTAAACGTCGGAATTACATTATGATTCTGGAATTTTGTTTCCTCACTCTGGGTATCCACCTCCACCCGCCAGAGCTCCAGGTTGAGAAACTTGTTTGCGAACTTGCTTTATCTCACTAACCCTGTTACAGTTTTCCACTATTAGTTTCATCTTCACCAAAAGGAAATAGGTAGAAATTGCAACCAAGATTTTGGCCAGTAGAGTTAGTTATTTTAATGGGCTGTCACTGAAAAGTAGTCTAAAACATTTCTCAAAAAATTATCCAAAAGTATTTTGACAGTTTATTTCCCTGGGGAGTTAATGTGGTAGGATGGTGTCATTAATTTGCATGTCTTTATCATATAGTTTAACTTGTGTTTTTCTTTTTTCTTTTAAAGATTTATTTATTTTAGAGAGAGACACAGGGAGAGAGTGGGAGGGGGGAAAAGGCCGGGAGAGAATCTTAAGCAGAAAGCAGACCCCCCCCCCCCCAGCATGGAGGTTGACGTGGGGCTGGATCTCAGGACCCTGAGATCACAACCTGAGCGGAAACCAAGAGTCGGATGCCCACCCAGGCACCCCTAATTTGTACTTTTCTAACTTTTAATTTTCTTCCCCCAGTAACATAATGGCAGAAACTGCTTCTCCACTGAAGCACTTTGTGCTGGCCAAGAGGGCAATTACTGCAATCTTTGACCAGTTACTGGAGTTTGTTACTGAAGGATCCCATTTTGTTGAAGGTTAGTTTCTCTAAGTTTTGAAAAGAATATGGTTGAAAGTATATGCAGGTACTTTATCCTTTCACCCTTAGTTACTGAACACCTATACGAGGCATTGCTCTATATTCTTGGAGAGATGCCCTAACAAATAAAATCCTTTTCTGCCCTCCGAAGGAAGAAGATTAAGTGGTATTGATAACCTAAGATATAAGTGGTTGTATGTATGATACCACTAGGCTCTTTATTATATTAATAATGCATTTAATCCTCAAATCAATGCTGGGACAGATTTTAATTGCAATTACATTTTATTATTTTTTAAAGATTTTATTTATTTATTTGTCAGAGAGGGAGAGAGGGCACAAGCAGGGGGAACAGCAGGCAGAGGGAGAAGCAGGCTCCCCGCTGAGCAGGGAGCCCAATGTGGGACTCTGTCCCGGGACCCTGGGATCATGACCTGAGCCACGGGCAGACGTTTAACTGAGCCACCCAGGCGTCCCTAATTGCAATTATTTTAAAAATGAAGAAACCAAGGCACAGAAAATTTAAACAACTTGCCCAAGATCACCTAGCTAGTAAATGCCCAGACTAAAAATCAGGCAGCGCACATTTAAGCCATTATACTTATCTCTTCCCCAAGTCGGCTGTCAGCCTAGATCTCAGACCTATCTTCTCAGATGAGGCTGGAATGTGGTGGGGGAAAGGGACAAAAAAGTTTTCTTAAAGTGAGTGTAACTGTTCAAACAAGGTTGGTGAGGGATGTCTTACTGGGGAATACTGCTTTGGAGGTAACTGTTGAAATCTTTTCTGGTTCTTAAGATTACATGACTGTCAAGGGTACAATGAAAAGCGAGGGATTCTATATACTTCAGTGACATTGGGGAAACATTTGGTAGGTTGGTAGAGTCAAACTTTTTGAGGATAGCCCCTGTAATTTTTAATCATTTTGATATTTTGGGGGCCGGATTCTTATGACCTGTTGCAACAAGGCATTCACCTTTTATCAAATATTCAGATACTGTGGCATTTTTACTTTTCAAAATGGCCATGTTAATGTAGAGCAGAGCCAAATATGCGAAATGTGTGCATATCTTAGATATTCCCTTGTATAATTAACCCAATATTCATTTTTGTCACTTTTTCTAACACCATTTCAATTTTGTAGCAACATACAGGAATCCAGAACTTGATCAAATAGCTACTGAGGATGATCTGATAGAAATACAGGGTTACAGAAACAAGCTTTCCATCATTGGTGAGGTGCTGTCTCGGAGACATATGAAAGTGGCATTTTTTGGCAGGTAATCCTTTATTGTTTCTCTCAAGGGTAGTTTCCAGAAATCAGCTTTTCTAAGTCATATCTCCAACTTTGTTTCTGATATTTCAGCAAGTGGTATTCCTACCCCTTTGCGCCACAAAGAGTTTCTCCCTTTGCTAAATGTTAAAGCTATTAGCATGAGAAAGCATTTGTTCATTTTAGCTCTTGGTATAAAATGAAACTTTCTAAAGGTCAGTTGTATTTTTACTTTTTAAGGATGCTGATGTCTAAAAATTAGCTTCTTAGCCAGTCCAAAGAATAGAAATACAGATAAATGATATGCATAACTTGTGACTTTATAAAGTTTCTCTTAATAATCATGTGTGTCTTCCAAAAGGATTCTCAGCCTCACGATTCCCAGAGGGAGAATAGGAAACGCCATTTGTTAACATAACTATCTGGAGTGATAGAGCGACCTCTGACACAGCTCATGTTCATTTAAGAATCATTTGTTAACTTCCTGTGTACTGTGCACTCTGTTAGGCACTAGGGATTCGAAGACAGATGAGTAGGCCCGTATCATGTGCTGAGTATCAACAGAAACATTTACTCACTAAACTAACTTTTAAGCCCATCTTAGGGCTTTTTTAGTACTTGTGATTTCCTATACTTAGAATTCCCTTTGCCTTGTTTTATCTATGTCTGGCTCTTTCTCACTCTTCAGATCTCATCCTAAATGTTACAACATCAGAAACCTTCCCTGACCGTTGTATCTAAAGTATTCCTTCTCATTTATTCTCTTCTAAAGTGCCCTGTTTATGCCCTTTAAACCTTTTCCACAAAGCTGTGCTGGGTTTTTGTGTATTTTTGTTTGTTTGTTTGTTTGTTTTTGTCTGCTTCTCCTGCTTGACCTTACTCTCAGGGCCTTACAGAGTGTAGTATGAGGTAGGTCCATAAATAGGCCCTAACTCAGATTAGGGTGGAGTGGGAATGAGAAGGAAGAGGGCTCCTGGTGAGGTGATGACTCCATTGTCCTATTTGAGAAGGAGAAATAGGTAATAGCTTTGGATATGAAAAAGATCCAGCCCAGATTTAAGGAGATGGGGACTTTAGACCACAGCTTGTGATGGGAAGAATTTGGGGTTGTGATTTCAAATTGTCACAAGAAGCAAGAAAGATAAAAAAGGCAAGGGTAGCTATATGGGAAAGGTGGGATTTGTGTTCCTCTATTTTTCTGATATGTACATTCCTAATATCTGTGTAGATCAGGTTGGCAACTTTTTTGTAAAAAATGCAATCTGATGAAATTTCTACAAAGTTTGAATTCTAAAAAGGTTGGCCTTCAACCCAATGAAAGAATAAAGTTTTTACTGTTATGTTTTATTTTCATGATTTTATATATTCTTCAGGACAAGCAGTGGGAAGAGTTCTGTTATCAATGCAATGTTGTGGGATAAAGTCCTCCCTAGTGGGATTGGCCATACAACCAATTGCTTCCTGAGTGTTGAAGGAACTGATGGAGATAAAGCCTATCTTATGACAGAAGGATCAGATGAAAAAAAGAGTGTGAAGGTATAATATTTGACTATTAGCAACCACATGTACCTGAAATAATGTCCTTGTTCTTTTTTAAAAAAAAATTGTAAGATGTCTACATTGCTGGAGATAGAAGAACCATTAATGTTTCTATTTGTAGCTTTAAAGCCATCACTAATATTTTGAATTCTCTAAAATGTTTTTGCTTCAGAGCTAAATCATTAGAAGAATGTATCTTAAAGCATACCTTATTAGAAAAATAAAACTTGTCCTTAAAGTAAATTAGAGTTAAGAGTTTATTACATTTTAAAATAATGTTCCCAGTGAAAATAACATTATTGAGTTGTATTGTTGCTATTTAATCTCAAATCTAATTTCATCTTTTGAAAGAAAACTTTGTTTAAAAATTTGGCTCTGGAATGTTTTTGATGCATGTCTGTGCCTTTTGAAACTATTTTATCTTTGGAACGTTTATGAGCACATTCATGAATAAATGTAACAGTTTTATCAGAAAGGGCCAATGGCAATTCCCTACCTTCCATAAATTTCTTAAGGAACCCAGTGCCACTAGGTTCCTTTAGCCAAAAGAAGGGAAAAAAGTGTTTCTCAGTATTATCACTTTCTCTTAAGTCTTCCCCGCCCCCCCCCCCCCCCCCAGTTTCTCTTAAGTCTTAAGATCTCTCCCACAAATGCAGTAGTTCAGTGTTTAAAATCCATGCCATTTTAGTTTTTGCAAAACTGAGTTGAATTCACTGGTCTAGTTAATTGTTCTGTGAGTTTGCTGTTTGATTTAACTCCGGTAACTCAATTTGTGTAATACCCTTCAGATTACGAGGAATAAAGGAGGTGATGCTTAAGAAAATATTTTCAAAGTTTTAACCCATACAAATGACGGAATCACTTATTTCTTAATCAGGATTTTTACCAAATCAGAATTCAAACTGGCCTTAGATCCTTAAAGTAAAATGTATATGATATTTTAAAGTAATCGTCTCCTTTTTCTTGGTCTGTGCCCTCTACTTCCAATCCACTTCCTTCATGCTCTTTTGCTCCTCTCCCCAACTCCAAAATTTCAATTTGTTTACCTCAAGTTGTGGCCTGCTTTAAGGTACAGACTTTGAGTCTTGTACTGTAGTAGTTTACTTAGTAAAAGAAATGGAATATTAACAGCTAATAAGCTTACTAAGTACCAGGTAGTATTCTAAGTACCTACAGTAACTCAAACCTCACCACAACTCTGTCAAATAGGTGCTTTTATTTTTTATTTATTTTTTGTTTTTGTTTTTAAAGATTTTTAATTTATTTTTTGACAGAGAAAGAGACAGCGAGAGGGAACACAGGAAGGGGGAGTAGGAGAGGGGGAAGCAGGCTTCCTGTGGAGCAGGTACCTGATGCGGGGCTCCATCCCAGGACCCTGGGATCATGACCTGAGCCGAAGGCAGATGCTTAACAACTGAGCCACCCAGGGATAGGTGCTTTTATTATCTTAATTTTATAGACCAGGCATCAAGATTTTAGTACAAGTTTATAATTCTATCAAAAAGTTTATGAAAGCAAGCAAAAATAAAACCTAGCTAACATTGTCACTATGGAGATTCACCTCAACCCTGATCAGGACTATTGTGCCAATTTGAAAATAGATGTTTCCCTTTAAAAATGGATACCCCTACAGTTCATTTGTATGTGTGCTGGTGTCCTTTCCTTGAATATTAATTTTATATTAAGCCCTTTGTATCTATTGTATATTTAACACATACATGAACGGTATTAAAGTAACACATTAATAAATTAGCATATGTCAGAAATCATCTTGAGAAACAGAAATATTTTAGTGAATTCAAATGGAAAGAGAAGGCATAGTCATTGATGTCAAGCAGGCTTATGTAAGTAAATAACTGCCTACTGAGAAAAATCCTTTATTAAAAGGATATGTCTTGAGCTTCTCTTGTATTGTTTTAGTCTTATTATTCTGGTGTTTTTAAACTATCTTAATAATGTTTCTTCTATTTTCACCCCTTACTACTGAGTAGTACATTTTAGAAGAGACAGAAAATACAAATGGGCAAAAAGAAACTCCAAAACTCACATGCTTCCTAAAGCCAGTGGAAACTTCCCTGTGGTATAGAGATAAATGTGTTTGTATTTTGTAAACAAAATGGTTTCATGTGTGCTATTTTGACTTGCCTTTTTTCTCTTAATATACTGTAAATTTGTTTTCATACATATAATATCAATTTCAGGTGTTACATAGGATTCCATTGCCAGAATTCACTTATTGGGCATTTATAGAGTGTTACCAGCTCTGCTTATTTTTGCAGAGTGGATGAGTAAACTGTTTTAAGGACATCTCCTCCCCCCCCCCCCCCCCCCGCCCCCGCCCCCCTTGGTAATTCTAAAACTCAGTTTCTCAAGATTGCTGAGATGGTTTTATTTCAGATTATTTAAAGTTCTGTTTTTTGTATATGTTTTGCAAAAATAAATATACCAAATCATAGTGTTTTTAATTTTTATTGAGTTTTATTACAAGCAGAGTTTTGTTTTTTCTTTCCCTTCCACTTTAGACAGTTAATCAGCTGGCCCATGCCCTTCATATGGACAAAGACTTGAAAGCTGGCTGTCTTGTACATGTATTTTGGCCAAAGGCAAAATGTGCCCTCTTGAGAGATGACCTGGTTTTAGTGGACAGGTAAAATTACATATGAATTGCATTTTCTCCTTGTAAAAGTTTATTCAATAGAATAGTATTGCTTGCACTGTGAATTGTGTAAGACTGATGAATAACAAACCTGTATCCCTGAAACAAATAATAACATTATATGTTAAAAAAATTTAAAAAATAGTATTGCTTGCTTTAGCATATAATACATAAAAATTTAAATGTTTAGTTGATGCTTTGTTCTCATTTGTTAGATTGTTAAGGAGCAGATAAGGTGTTGGTTTATGTTTTTTACTGGTTACATAAAGTGCCAGTTTCTTAGTCTAATTCTATTAGGAGAAATTTCAAGGATAGTGAAACTTTTTTTCCCCTCTAGATTGTAGTTTGGGTAAGTAGCTGGGCCTTAGAGATTATCTAATTCTAGATAACGAGGTAGGTAACTCTGATTAGGTAAATTTTCTTAACTAGTAATACATTTTTTTTTTTTTTTAAGAATTGAAAGAACACACTTATGCAGTGGGGGAGGGGGGCGGCAGAGGGAGAGAATCTCAAGCAGACTTGGCACTGAGTTTGGAGTCTGATACAGGGCTTGGTCTCCCCACCCTGAGATCACAACCTGAACTGAAACGAAGAGTCCAGCGCTTAACTGACTGAGCCACCCAGGCACCCTAGTAATAAATTTATGCTGAGACCTGTTTCCCAAAATAACTTACTGGACAGTTTACATAGCTTTTCATTGTTCAAGAATTAATTGAATACTTCTGGAATTTTGTTTTGACTCTTCTGATGAGTCTTCATTTATTATGTGTTCTTTTACTACATTGGTGCTAAGTAAAATGATAATGTACATCTGCTAAGCAATGTCCTTAACTAAAAAAGGTAGTTAAATGATTTTTCAAAATTTTGGTATGCTCTTTTGTTTTCTTGGTTAAAATTTCAATGTTGTATGGAAACCGTTTTGGTTTTGGTGATGGGCTTTTAATTTTGCTTTATTTCATGGCCAGACTATGTCCATGACCGCAGCCTCTCATCTTGCCACATTGTCACAGGATACATCAAGCCAGTGTGTAGATAGTTGCACTATAATTTTTATAGTATAGATAGTATATTAAACTTAGGTCTTAGCAGAGGGTGTTTTATTATTTATGCTCATGAGCACTTAAATATTTTCTGAGCTGTACTGGACACAGCTGCTTGCACCTTTGATTTTGGTTATATATTAGCCTGTTTGGTTTTGGTTTTTTAATTTTTTTTATTTTTATTTTATTTTTTATTTTTTTTTTAAAGATTTTATTTATTCATTTATTTGAGAGAGTGAGAGAGAGAGAGAGCACATGAGAGGGGGGAAGGTCAGAGGGAGAAGCAGACTCCCCGCCGAGCAGGGAGCCCGATGCGGGACTCGATCCCGGGACTCCAGGATCATGACCTGAGCCGAAGGCAGTCGCTCAACCAACTGAGCCACCCAGGCGCCCCGGTTTTGGTTTTTTTAGTACTTTTCATCCATCCAAAGCATAAGGATTTAAAAGATTAAAATATTGACCATGTTACTTACTTTGTCAAAAATCACAAGGTTATTTATTTTATTTTTTTTAAGATTTTTATTTAGTTATTTGACAGAGAAAGATACAGCAAGAGAGGGAACACAAGCAGGGGGGAGTGGGAGAGGGAGAAGCAGGCTTCCCACCAAGCAGGGAGCCTGATGCGGGGCTCGATCCCAGGACCCTGGGATCGTGACCTGAGCCAAAGGCAGATGCTTAACGACTGAGCCACCCAGGCGCCCCTATTTGTTTTTATTTTAAAGATTTTATTTATTTATTAAAACACGAGCAGGGGGGAGAGCCGGAGGGAGAGGGAGAAGCAGGTTTCCCACTGAGGGATCTGATGACATGGGGCTCCATCCCAGGACCCTGGGATCGTGACCTGAGCTGAAGACAAACCTTAACTGACTGAGCCACCCAGGCGCCCAAGTTTATTTCTTTTTAGTAAATAAACTATTTTTTTTTAAGCATTTGTTGTCAATTGGATAGGCTCTGAGATTTCTTTGTCAGCAGAATAAATATTGAAGTTTATAAAACACAGAATCAGCTTGCCACAAGTGCTCTCTTATAGGTGAAAAAGTAAATCTCTTAGGCTTTGTGCTAAAAACTGGTAGAAATCCTGTCCTTTAGACTTCAATTTATAAAAGTTTAAAAAAATGTCTTTCTGTAATCAAATTTTCTTTTTAAAAAATATTATAAAATACAGTATTCTCTTACTCCCATTAGTCCAGGTACAGATGTCACTACAGAGCTGGATAGCTGGATTGATAAGTTCTGCTTAGATGCTGATGTCTTCGTTTTGGTTGCAAACTCTGAATCAACACTAATGAACACGGTAGGATTTAATCACATTACTATGTTTGAGTGGTAGGAAATGAGTGTCTATTCTGAAAAGTGAGGGAAATCCAAATCATGGATTAAAAAGAATCCAGGGTGAACAAAGGAGTTTGTGTTTCCATGGGACTGGAAAAGCTGATGCTGGTCTTCTTGAGTGTTCCCATTGGGAATCTAGGGTTTGATGGCTCTAGCTTCTAGTAAATCTTTAAGTTCAAGGTGTGACACATGTGTGGTGTTGCCATTGATTGTGGTTATTTGCCAGTTTCAGAAGGAATGGGCACCAGAATTGTTAGGCTTTTCATACTTCTAGTCTTGTCAACCTTTCGCAGCTTTACGTGTGTACACTCTAGGTTCCAGCTTACCTGTGTATGTTCTACGCCACTGTCAAACCTAATAGATTAGATTATTTATCCAGGATGTCTAGAGCCAGACTCATCCAACATAAACTTCAGAGTTTATAGATATCTAATATCCAAAACTATGGTATGATTTTTTAAAACTGTTATTCCTCAAAAGCATATTAGTGGCCAAGCACCATTATAACCTAGATGTTACCAGCAAGGACCTCTGTTTTGCCACTGTTACTCGTTTTTGTATAACCTGATCTATATCACGTGGACCAGGCTGCTGTGACAACATGGACAGTTGTTTATAATCTCATGAGAAATGATTAATGTTTTAAATCTTTTTTAGAACAACCTCATTATTTGGATATTGATAAATAAGCTTTGATGTACATTCTGACTTCTGTGTCTTTGTTTATGCTATTCTTTGCCCACAATTCTTCCCCCGCTCCCAGCTTCTTATTTTTCAGAAAGCCATTATCAGTACTTTTAAGCACATCTTTATCACCATTCCCTTCTTTATGGAGTTTTTCCTAATTCCAGCTAGATATGGTGTCTCTTTCCTTTAAATAAGCATAGCATGTATTTATAGCATTTAAGGCACATACGTTTCTCTGTTGCTTATTATGATGTACATAGGTCTTACACTGTTATTAATTTACTTAGCCTAAATCTTTAGAAAGATTTGAGGTAGCTTTTTGAAAATATGGACTGTAATACCCAATATCGATTGTGTTCTGCACAATAGTAGAGACATAAATATTTGTTAAATTGAATTTCAGAAAAGACTCATGGCAGGAGCAGGAAAATCTTCAGTTTTGCCTTCTTATAATTTAATTTTCTCATCTTTGAGAAGTGTAATGTTCAGTGCTTTGGGATCCTTTATCAGTGGGTATTAATCACTGTTGTCTAAATGGTTCAAACTTTTAGATTAGAGCTTCAACTATAAATGTAAATATAAAATAGCTGTTAAAAGTGAACATACTCTTGGGTATTTGATGTTTTTTAGGAAAAGCAGTTTTTTCACAAGGTAAATGAGCGACTTTCCAAGCCTAATATTTTCATTTTGAATAATCGTTGGGATGCCTCTGCATCAGAGCCAGAATATATGGAAGACGTAAGTTATTTTTTCTTTTAAGTTGTGAAATATAGTCATGTGTGTTATTATCTGAGAAAACAGTATACCTTATAGAATAGAACGTCCTAAGTAGTTGTTCTTTTACTTGAGAAAAGGCTTATGTGATAGAGACCAGAATATTAAGCTGCTTTGGAGGAAAATTGTTATAGAAGTACTATATAATCATTTTAGATATTGAAACTCTGTTTTGTTAAGTGTTTTATTGAAGTGTAACGTAACAGAAAAGTGTGCAGATCCTAAGTGTCCAGCTCAGTGAATTTTACAAATTGAACACACCTGTGTCAGGATACAGCTCAAGAAGGAGAACATTCCCAGCACCCTCTTCCAGTCTCTGTCCTCCCTCACAAGAATGAGCACTTACCATGACTTCTAACACCTTTGATTATTTTTTTTGGTTGTTCAACTTTATGTAGTGGAATCATACAGTATCTACTTTTGTGTCACGTTTCTTTTACTCAGCATTACATTTGTGATATGCATCCATACTCTTGTGCAGAGTTGAAGTGCATTGTCATTACTGTACAATATTCCAGCCTTCGAATAACTACATTTAATTTACTCATTCTGCTAGTGATGGGCATTTGGGTAAATTTCCTGTATTTAGCTGTTATGAGTAGTGCTGCTGTACATATTCTTACATGTGTCTCTTTGATGCACATAGGTATATGTTTCTGTTGGGTATATACCAGTGGTTCTCAACCTGAGGGGTTGGGCAGTTTTGATCTCCAGGGAATATTTGGCCATGTCTGAAGATATTTTTGATTGTCACAGCTCTGGAGTGTGCTACTGGCATCTGTTGGGTAGAGGCTAAGAGCTGTTAAAAGTCTCATAACAGAACAGCCCTCCCAACCAAAGATTTATCTGACTCAAAATGTCAGTACTGCAGAGATCAGTAATCTGTGAGTATATATCTAGGAGTAGAATTGCTGGACTATAGGTAGAGAATATGCTGTTTCAGTAGACACAGCCCAAGAGTTTTCTAAAGTCTTGTACTGGTTTATACTCCCAAGCAGATTAAGAGTTCCAAGTGATTTATATATCCTTGCCAACACTTGGTATTTTTGGTTGTTTTAAATTTTAGTCATGCTGGTGGTTTTAGAAACTTTTTTTTTTTTTCCAAGATTTTATTTTATTTGTCAGAGAGAGAAGGAGAGTGAGAGCAAGCACAAGCAGAGGGAGTGACAGGCAGAGGGAGAAGCAGGCTCCTGCCGAGCAAGGAGCCCGATGTGTGACTTGATTCCAGGACTCTGGGAACATGACCTGAGCCGAAGGCAGACGCTTAACCATCTGAGCCACCCAGGCGTCCCTAGAAACTTCTTTTTAAAAAGAATAGGGCACCTGGGTGGCTCAGTCGGTTAAGTGTCTGCTTTCGGCTCAGGTCATGTTCCCAGGGTCCTGGGATTGAGCCCCACATCGGGCTCTATGCTCTGTGGGAAGCCTGCTTCTCCGTCTCCCATTCCCCCTGCTTGTATTCCCTCTCTCGCTGTCTCTGTCTCTGTCAAATAAATAAATAAATAAATCTTTAAAAAAAAAAATTGAGAAGAATAGAGTATCTGGAATTTGGTCTGTGATCTATAAAAAATATTTAATTTGCCTGATTAACTTCTTTTTCTGATTTTGATCATAGTTTTTCTTTACAAAAAAAATTAAAATTTACACTATCCTATCACTGTTAACATGTTAGATTATTTGCTTTCATTCTTTCCCCCACCCCCAAAATTGGAATTTTGTTTCATATGAAGTTTTATATCCTGAAGTCTTAAGATAGAGGTCTGTTATCGTAGCCACAATCCTAGAGGCTAGTACTAAACCCTAACTAGTTTCACCCTTAGTCCTATTTTTTATGTCTTTAAAGTTTGAAGTAATCTGTACACCCTACAATGGGGCTCAAACTCACAACCCCAAGATTGAGTCACATACTGTACTGACTGAGGCAGCCAGGTGCCCCTCTTAGTTCTTTTTTTTTTTAAAGATTTTATTTATTTATTCATGAGAGACAGAGAGAGAGGCAGAGGGAGAAGCAGGCTCCCAAGGAGCAGGGAACCCGATGCGGGACTCGATCCCAGGGCGCTGGGATCATGACCTGAGCCGAAGGCAGATGCTCAACCATCTGAGCCACCCAGGCACCCGCCCCTCTTAGTTCTAATTTTAATACCTAAGTGCTAATCTTAAACCTAACATTGCAACCCTAATCCCTAGCTAATGCATTCTCCCCAACTTTAATTCTCAGTGCTTTAAGAAAAATAGACATTTATGTTCTGATTTCACAATAAAAATAGCTTAATTGTAGCAAATTAATTGTAGCACTTATTTTCTGGTATCAAAGATATTAATAGCTTCGTTGTAAGAAAATTTGGAAAATAAGCATAAGAGATAAAAATGCCACCTGGTTTGTGGTTGTTGCCTGCATGCCACCTGTTAATTTTCAGAGATATATATACACATTTCTTTTTTGTAGTATAGTCATATATGTCAATAACACAGAAATAAGAACCTTTTCCCATGGCAGTAAGTACTAATATATTATATGTCTACAATATGTTGGAAAATGGCTGCATAGTATTTGGTGGCCCATCAGAATTTTAAATGGTCAAAGAAGGATCATTACTTTAAGAGAAAGTATTCTATTTATTAGAATTTTTGGATTTGTTAAGTAATATGGGAGCTATTACTTATTATAATATCACTATAAATGGAGTTTAGTATAGGCCGATAGCTGTCAGTTACATTTGTTTAATTACTAGAATTATTTCAGTACCCTGTTTTCTCTAGGTACGCAGACAGCACATGGAAAGATGTCTACATTTCTTGGTGGAGGAGCTTAAAGTTGTGGATCCTTTAGAGGCACAGAATCGTATTTTCTTTGTTTCTGCAAAGGAAGTTCTTAGTGCTAGAAAGCACAAAGCACAGGGGATGCCAGAAGGTGGTATGTATTATTATAGATTGTCTTTTGAAATACAAGTATAGTTATAGAAATAACATGCTAGAAATCTTACCTTGCTGTATCCTAGGTTTTAAACTCTTCATGTAAATATTATAGGTGGGGCACTTGCTGAAGGATTCCAGGCAAGATTACAGGAGTTTCAGAATTTTGAACAAATCTTCGAGGTAGGAATTTTGTGAATGTATTCACTAATATAAAACCCTAACATTGGTTGGAGAATGATCATAATCTTCTGTTTCCACTATTTATCTTTGTCAAATAACGTTTGCTTGCTGTTATTTAGTATAGTTACTGCTACAGCTAGTGAAGCAAGTTTGAAGAAAGGAAGTCCCTGCAAAATGGATGATCCGTAAGAATTGAGAATTAAAGATTGTAATTTCTCATTTTTTCTTATGTAGTTGTATTTAAATGGGAAACTGTTTTTCTGATATTGCATGTGTTGTGCAATGAGTGAAATTCTCTTTATTCAGTAATTTGAAGCAAGATTAAATAAATGTAATTGCTGTTGGAATGGGTAATGAGCAAAGTGAAGATTATCTTTTTCTTTTGTACCATACTGTTGATAGAGAATGTAGTTAACGTCATTTGACAAAAGTTTATTACATTTTAAACTGTGCTGTCACCTATTTATTCTCCACATTTTATGTCAAATGTCCTAAATGAAAGAATACAAAAATAATTATGATACAGGGTATCCTATAGTTTAGGAATCTGGTAGGAACTACTGGCGCACATGAATAGCTAATGTATTTGCAGCATTGGGAAGGAAGGATACTTCTTTGTATTTTGGTGTAGGCATTTTATTCAGAGACATTAAAACATCCTACATTTGAGTGAAAAGTTCTTTAGATGTTAATTTCCAAACTCTTATTTAGCCCTATTTAATCTAGCTCTGCTTAGATTGATATCCCCTTTTCACCCATGAATGAACACGAAGACTTCAGAACTTAAAAAAACTTCTTTCTGTAATTATTCTTCCTTTAAGTCGTAACAGCTTTAATAGTAAGGACATGAATGTTGAATGTACTTGGCAGGATTTTTTAAATTAAACATTTGCTATCTCCCATCTTTAATTTGGTGAGTTGGAGATAGACTGTTATGTAGATGAAAACATAAAGAAGGGAAAGCCCACTAGTGGCTATCTTGGTAAGATCTCTCTAAAGTCAGAGGCCCCTGGGATATTAGCATATGTTGTCCCAAGCTAATCCGTAGATTACATGAAGGCCCAGTCACTCAGAGACCATTGTTTATATTCTTTCCTTTTTGCTTTCACAAGATTCAGTGCTCTCCTTACTCTTTCTCAGTTATTTCATCCATGGGGAAAATACTGGGGAGAGGATGTATTGTTCTGTCTCCCTTTGTCTTATTTATTGACTTTTTCTTTCTTTCCTTCTTTCTTTGTGTGTTAGATATTTGTCATTGATTTCTCCTACCAGATCATATTGTTCTCTTACGCATTTATAACCTCTTTCATCTTGGTTCCTGCTACCCAGACAGAATATCTCCTTGAAGAAGTGGGAATGAGAAGAGTAAAAGCTGTGCTGTAGAGCACTGGTTCCTAAACCTTGACTGATCATAAGAATCACATGAGGTGCTTTAGAGAACTGCAGACTCCTGAATTATCCCAGAGACCGATCGAGTGGGGCTGGGATGGACCTAGGAATCCGCATATATTCAAAGCTCCCCAAGTCATGGCAATAATCAGGCAGACCTAGGAATTACCATTTTTTAATGTTTTTAGAAGAAACTTGGCAGTTTTTTATTGTAATAGTTCATTTGGGAATCTAAGAATTATGTACAGAAAAAACTATGTGCAAGAGCTTTTACATAAAGTTGTGGAGAATGTCAGACCTTAGAGTTTGAAATGTTTGTTCAATTAAAAGTATGATAGATTTAATATGAGAATCAGCTAGAAATTATTCGAACTTACCTAAAAAAAATAATCAGATGGGCAAAAAGTCTTGTCTTGGTGGCCAAAGCATTTTTTGATGATTACATTGACAACTCTTCAACTTTTTTTCCAGAGTAGAATGTGTTACTTCTTAAATCAATTTTGGTAATTTAAGATTTCATATAACTTGGGACATTTTTAAGAATTTACAATTTAGTAGGATAAAATTGTTCATTTTTAAAAACTTCTGTATTCTTTCTCAGTTCTTTATAGACATACGTACATATTTGTGCACACGTGTATATATTCTAACCTTAATTGGATTTGCCAGTGATTTAACTACTCTGCTTTATCTTTCAAAGACCTAGCCGCAGCCTTTGGTTAATTTTTCCATTCATAAATAGCATTTTTTGGTGTTTTGTTTGTTTTTTTTTTAAGATTATTTATTTATTTATTTGACAGAGAGAGACACAGCGAGAGAGGGAACACAAGCAGGGGGAGTGGGAGAGGGAGAAGCAGGCTCCCTGCAGAGCAGGGAGCCCGATGCGGGACTCGATCCCAGGACCCTGGGATCATGACCTGAGCTGAAGGCAGTCGCTTAACCAACTGAGCCACCCAGGCGCCCAGCATTTTTTGGTTTTTATTCATTAAATTCTATGTTAATCTTTAAACATAGTTTCTTCTGCCTTTTTTTATACCTTTGTTTAAGTGGAATTGTCTTGCTTTTTATTTTTCAGGACAGAATTTAGGTCTGTGAATTTGTGATGTAACTTTGGACATACACCATAGGTTTCGGTATCCAGTTTAGTTTTCATTGTCTTTAATAGTTTTTAATTGTAGTTGTTGGCATTTTCTATTCAATACAGGAGTTGTTAAGAATCAGATGTTTTGGGGGCGCTTGGGTGGCTCAGTTAGCTAAGTGGCTGCCTTCGGCTCAGGTCATGATCCCAGGGTGCTGGGATCGAGCCCCGCGTCGCGCTCCCTGCTCAGCGAGAGCCTGCCCTCCCTCTCCCTCTGCCTGCCTCTCTGCGTACTTGTGCTCTCTCTCTGTGTCTCTCTGTCAAATAAATAAATAAAATCTTAAAAAAAAAAAGTTAAAAGAATCAGATGTTTTGATTCTTTTCATCCAACTTTTGGTTATTTATTTCTTGGTTTCTTTGCATTGTGATCACAGAATGTGTCCTTTATATACATTTTCTCTTTGTTTTTAGAATTCACTTTTTTTTTTGGAGTCTTAGAAAATAATTTTTGTGAAAAGAAAGTACCAAGTCTTTCATTTTTAGCGGTCTGATCTTTGCCATAGACTTTTTGGGTTTCATTTGGTTCTTATGAGCAAAACAGTACAGGAACATTTGGAGTACCAAGTTTAAATAATGCTTGAAAATTAAATCTGTTAAAATCAATCAAGAAAATCAGTGTTAATTCTGTCAATACGTTTCTTACTGTTTTAAACCTGTGTTTGAACAAGTGTATATTCTAAAGATAATTTAGAAATCTAAATATCTTTGCTCAAATATTTGGCAATTAACTGTTTTTAATTTGATTATAAGATGGAAAACAGGTATAAAATAATTCTACTCTAAAATGTCAGTGAATTTGTTGTACAGGACATTCTGGGACAACTGGTGAAATTTGAAAATGGACTGTGTGTTAGGTTAATAGTACTGCCCCAGTGAATGCAGTAATTGTTTCTTGGTTGTACAGGAAAATGATCCCATTCCTAGGGACACATGTTAATATATTTAGTAGTAAAGTTGTGATGGCTGCAAAGTACTGTCAAATTGTTCAGCAGGAAAAAAAAATATCTATAAAAATATATGTATATCTATATAGATATATCTGTATGGAGAGGGAGAAGGAAAGGAAAACAAATTGGAAACGTATATTGTATATTAGTATTTTTTCTTGCACTGCCCTGTCAATTTAAAATCTTTCAAAATAGTAAGTTGGGAGTGATGAATAGCATGTTATGGGATGTTTGGGGTCTGTTAAGAGGATTTGACAAAGTCATTTTATGTCTTAATTACACATAAATATTAATATCTACAAATCTATAACTGTAATTAACTACCAGCTGGCTTCTTTAGATATTATTAGAAAGTTAGAAAACTATCTTCACTGAGATGTGATTATTGTTTTGGCTCTAAATCCTTAATAAGTTTTAAGATAGTCTATAGGATAATCGGACAAGATGGCATTTAAAATGGTTTGATGTAGTATTTTAACCTTCTCCTTGGAAAATTAGAGTTCCTGATAAAGTAAGTCTGGAAACTGCTGCTCACTATGTATGTTCTCTATGGGGATTCATAAGCATATTAGTGTAGTGAGGGTTCTGAGACATACTTCAATTTAAGAAAAATCTGTATTTAAATTAACATTTCCCACAACTCAGAATAGAGTATTTCTTTTGCAGGTTGACTTGATATTTTTGTGATCAGTGGAACATCAGTGTGGGATACTTGCTAAGTAGAAGAAGATTGCTTATTCTCTTTATATTTATTCATGACGTGATTATATATTTTTAAATAAGGAATGACTTTTATATTGCCTAATAACTTTTGAAAATATTTTCTTTCTGGTCTAGCTCTAATACTGTGCTGTTATCTATAAATTTTGGGTCTTCATTGCTGATATCTAGATCTGCTTCATCGAGGAACATAGAATTTCTTTTAACCTTTTTTTCTTTTAAATTTTCATGGTTTTATTATCATTTTTATGGAGGTTAATTTGTCAGTTTATGAGATACAGTTATTTAAAGAAAATCAAAGCTTTGTTTTGGTTGTTAAAAATAAGCAGTTTATACTTTAACTGTTTAATATTGTGTAGTTATTGGTGGTTTTTCTGTAGGCACAAATAGAACGGGGAATACAGTAACTTCCTACAACTAATCTCTTCAGGATTAGTGATGTTGAGTGATGTATAAATAAGTTTAACCATGAACAAAAGTTAGGCTATACAGTGAAAGAAAGTAATGGGCTGGAGTTAAGGCTTTATAAATTGTTAAGTAAATGAATTACCCTCACATGTCCTATAGCTAAAGAAGTGAGTCGGTTTTATTTTTCATACCTCAAAGTACTGAAGAGGACAGCTAAAATGTCAAAAGAATTAAAAGTTTTTTCTATCTGAGTTGAACAGGTAATCATTTTAGAGATGTGAAGGCTCTAGGTTATAAATAGTGTATTGAATGAATGTAACATACTAATGATTTCAGTATAACAAATACTATAGTATTAAGTGAATACCTTTTAAAGCTTGAAAGCCATTTATTGTGGCGAAGGATAGTTACCACAATTTATACTGGTTACAATAAAAAAGAGGTTCAAGAAGATGAATTCATGGAAATCATGGAGAGTTAGGGTATATCCCTAATTTTTAAAAATTCATCACAGCGAATAAATGTGGCTTCCTACAAAATACCTATTGTAGTTATTGCTGCTTTGACCCAGACAAGCATTTCTTGATTGTTCGAAGACCAGATGGCCTTCCTCTGTAAACACTTGTAGTTGTTTTTAGATGTTATGTCAGTGCAGAATTTAACTTTCTATGAAGTAAGAATGACAGGACAGTTTTAACGTAATAATTTTGTGAGCTTTCAATGATGAATTCACAGTAAATATTTTAAATAACAAGTAGTATGCACATGTATTGAAATTGAAACAAATTTTATAGTATAAATGTATCCATTATTATATGTGACGCATTCTAATATATTCTCTTCTATTTAAAAAAAAAACAAAACACTGGTCGTGAAACCTGATTTGTATAGCTGTGAATGGTTTATGAGCTATAATTAGCTTGAAGGTGAAACAAATGAGATAGGGCATCATTCGAACTGTATGCACAAACTATAGAGCAAGGACAATAACAGGATTATCTTTGAAATAGCTGTAGATTTTTTTCTAAAAATATCCTGTAGGTTGTTGCTAAAGAGTATTTTTCAAGTTCAAATATTAATGACTTTGTGTGAATCCTGTCATTCAACTAATTTCTTAAATTGTGGAATTCTAATTCATAACTCAGTTAAGAACTTCATTAGGTATTGTAAGCATGAGAAAAATCAAGACAGACTAGGAGTAGATTAAAGGCAATCCCGATAAAATTGGTGATTTTAATGGAGAAAGCTTTAACATTGACAACAGTACCCTGCTTATTTATTCATTTATTTTTAAAAATATAGTCAAAAAACCATTGCACATTACTGTGTAAAATTACACAAAGATGATATGAACTTGCTGTTAATGCCCTTTTTACTTTTGATTTCTTGTAGGTTTTTTAACCTTTGTTATTTTAAGTTCTGTTTATCATGCGTTTATTTTCTGCTCTTATTTATGTTTTGGTTATCATTACAAACAGCAAGTTTTTGTGTTTAAATTCCTGAAAATGTTGGGATGGAATTACAGTAATGTGTTATGGCTTGGGCCCTCGCAGGAGTGTATCTCGCAGTCAGCAGTGAAAACAAAGTTTGAACAGCACACTATCAGAGCTAAACAGATACTAGATACTGTGAAAAACATAATGGATTCAGTAAACGTGGCAGCAGCAGAGAAAAGGTATGAATTCATTTTATTGCAAAATAAAAATGTCAGTTCGTGTCAGTATAAATTCCTTAGACTGAGGTCTTAAATTGTTACATTTTAAATACTTACACACTAAAGTCAGCAACCTACTTGCATGTTTTTAAATGAGTATTTGAAATTATAAATATTCTATAACCTTAAATACATCATTTACATTTCCCGGAACTCAGTATTCTCATGAGCTATGATTTTAACATGCTTCATAGTTTTAAAATATCTTTAAAGCAGTGGAAGGACTATTTCTTCAAGTGGAATTTTTTGAAGAAGTCCACAAAGGAGGTGGCCCTCTTTTTTGTTGCATTCAACCTATGACCCATTTTTCATATATTTATACATTGGTACCTTGAAATCTCTTTTGATGCCAGTTGTGGGTTTTTATCAACTGGTAAGCAAACAAGGTGATAATACCTGCCAGCCAGAAAGTCAGTTTGGTAAGCACTACCCTATATGTCATTGTACTGCGCTGTTATTCTATTTATTACCTTATAAAGATGAAAGTAAATACATGAAATTGCTAACATTGAAGAAAAGGGTAGTTCTCACAAACCTGGTGCACTTAAAACAAGGTTGTGGATATTATTAGATGTGACACATGTAATGATGTTAAGCCTTGACTGAACTGTTAGTGGGCTTAAGCCAATCAAGGGAAAGATACAAAGTATCAGAGATTGAGGACATTAAATTGGGAATTTTAAATGCATTTGATCTTACAGGGAACAAATACACCTAAATCTATTGCCTGATTTTGACACTTTTGCTGGAATGCATCATGTATAAAATTAGAGAATTTGTAATATATAAAACACAAGAGTGAGAACTCAGAGTCTGATCTCAGGCCCTGTGCACTGTTTCTGTATGAGAGTGTAGTGTCATTTATACCTCTTCCAGCTCAGTTGCTTTATCATAGTAGTCAAAGTGAGTATTTGGTCCACAGGTTGACCTTAATATTACTGATTTGAAAAATACAGGACATTGAACTAAACATAGCACAAAGAAGATGTGACTTGAGGATGGTTTGTATAATCATGTCTTTGGAACTCTCTTAGCTAAAGATAATTTAAAAGAATCTCAGGTCTTTGTTTTCCTATATCCTGTAGTGGTTGACAAATTTTCTGTAAAAGCTAGACGGTAAATACTTTAGGTTTTGTGGGTTGTACTTTCTCTTTTGCAACTACTCTGTTCTGCAGTTTTAGGGCAAAGACAGCCAGCCATACAGATGATAGGCATATGAATGGTCATGGAAACCGTAACAAAAAATAACAGCTGGCTGGATTTGGCTTTTTATTAAATGAAGTCAGGATTTTTATTGTGACTGTTCATATCTGTGTTTGGAGAATCCTTATTCTTTGTGGGATTCAGATGCCACATGTGCAGAGAGACAAAGTAGTTTATATACAGTCATCTAGGAAATATTTTATAAATGAAATATTATTTGAATCCTTTTAGATGTTGAAATACAAGATTCATTTTCCCCCTGCATATCATGCTAACAGCTGGTTCATTACATAAGTGAATGCCCTAGCTTAATTGCTTTGGGACTTCAGTGTATCCTGAGAATTAATTACTCTGCATACTACAATAGGGTTTATTCAATGGAAGAGAGGGAAGATCAAATTGATAGACTGGACTTTATCCGAAACCAGATGAACCTTTTAACACTGGATGTTAAGAAAAAAATCAGGGCGGTTACAGAAGAGGTGGCAAACAAGGTGGGTTGGTCACTTTATGATTAAAATTTCTGGGAATGGAGAGACTGGCTCAGTCAGTAGAGAATGCCACTCTTGATCTTGGGGTTGTGAGTTCGAGCCCTATATTGGGTGTAGGATTACTTAAAAATAAAATCTTTAAATAAAATAAATTTCTGGAAATGAAAATATTTTTGATAATCCTAAAAATGTTATCCCTGTTACCCTAAAGGCACATTTTGTTAAGTTTTTTACAATTTGGTTGAGTAGGTGCTAATCTTGTCTAATTTTTTTAACTTTATATTTTCAGGTTTCCTGTGCAATGACAGATGAAATTTGTCGACTGTCTGTTTTGGTTGATGAATTTTGTTCTGAGTTTCATCCTACTCCAAGTGTATTGAAAGTATATAAAAATGTAAGTTAAATTGTTGTTAAAGAGAGTTACTCAGTTTTTCTCACCTTATTCTACATTTTTATTTAGTGGATTAGCCATTTTAGTGTCTTCATAGCAGTCAGTACATGATTGAACTCATATCTCCTGTGCACTCTTGTAATAAGTGTAAACTATCTTGTATATAAAGTACACAACGTTATCCTCTTAGAATAAGATCATTTACTATACTTTTTAAGCTTTCGTAAAATTTGTACATGTTCTAGAGAAAAAATAATGGGCCCATGTACCATGTTAACAGGAGTTAAATAAGCACATTGAAGATGGTATGGGAAGAAATTTGGCCGATCGATGCACCAATGAAGTCAATGCTTCAATGCTTCAGTCCCAGCAAGAAATTATTGGTAATGTTTATGTCTACAAGTTCATGTGTGGTTTTTTTATTCATTTTGTTGGGAAAGGATTTATTTTCCTTTAGGTGTTTTATAAAATGTATAACATTATTTAACTGTTGTTTCTTAAAAATCATGATTTTGTTTTGTCTAGAAAATTTGAAGCCATTACTTCCAACTGGTATACAGAATAAACTTCATACACTGATTCCTTGCAAGAAATTTGATCTCAGCTATGACCTAAATTGCCACAAGTTATGTTCAGATTTTCAAGAGGATATTGTATTTCGTTTTTCCCTGGGCTGGTCTTCCCTTGTGCATCGTTTCTTGGGCCCAGTGAATGCCCAGAGGGTGCTGCTAGGATTATCAGAACCCATCTTCCAGGTATCTTTTTTTTTTTTTTTTTTTTGAGCTTTTTATTTTGTTATTGCTCCTACTACACAGTTATGTATCTTTGATTTTACCAGTTGAGATTCTTTTTTATTTTGCTTATGTGATTTCTCTAATAGACCTCGTTGTGTCCAATTTGCATATTTATGAGCTAATATCTATCACGTAGAACCATTTCTGAATTAGGTATACAATGCAAAGGGAAAGGCAATTCCAGCGTTTTCATTCAGTACTGTTGGAGGTTGTTGTACATTCATTTTTGAAATGGTTTTTATTCCTTAAGTTTTTGTTTTCAAATAGAATTGAAGTTTTGACTTCAACTAAATTAGAGTAAATGCAAGCATTTAGAAAAAAACTTGAATTTATCAATTCAGTACTTTTTCAGAAAATCAATGGAGTTGTAAAACCACCACCACAAACCAGTTTTAGAACCTGTCACCCTAGGGCACCTGGGTGGATCAGTCGTTAAGTGGCTGCCTTCGGCTCAGGTCATGATCCCAGGGTCCTAGGATCGAGCCCAACATCGGGCTCCCTGCTCGGTGGGAAGTCTGCTTCTCCCACTCTCCCTGCTTGCGTTCCTTCTCTCGCTGTCTCTCTCTATGTCGAAAAATAAAAATAAAATCTTAAAAAAAAAAAAGAACCTGTCACCCCAAAATGGTACACTTGTGCCCATTTGCAAGTAATCATCATTCCCACCTCCAGCCCTATTGCTGCTAGTCAGCTTCCTGTAACTATCATATTTTGGCCTTTCTGGACATTTCCTATAAATGGAATAATAAAAAATATGGCCATCTGTGACTGGGGCATCTTTCACTTAGCATAGTATTTTCAAGGCTCATCACCATGGTACATGAATGTTGTAGCATTTATCAGTACTCCTTTTTTTATAGGTGAATAATACTCCATTATAGATATCACACATTTTATTCAGTTGATGGACACTTGAGTTGTTTGTACTTTTTGGCAATTATGAATAATGCTGCTATGAACACTCATGTACTATTTTTATGTGGACATCTGTTTTCATTTCTCTTGAGTATATACCTAGGAATGAAATTGCTGGGCCATGCGGTAACTCCATGTTTAACTTTCTGAGGAACTGCCAAACTGTTTTCCAAAGCAGCTACACCATTTTACATTCCCACCAGCAGTATATTAAGGTTCTGTTTCTCAACATTCTCATCAAGACTTGTTATTGTCTGTCTTTTTTATTTAGTGGATGTGAAGAGATATCTCATATAATTTCAGTTTGTGTTTCCCTAACGACTAATTATTTTGAACATCTTTTCATGTGCTTGTATTGGCCATTCTTATATCTTGTGAAATGTCTATTCAGGATCATTTGCCCATTTTTAATTGTATTATTTGGCTTCTTATTGTAGGAGTTCTTTATATATTCTCTAGATACAAGTCCTTTGTCAGATACATGATTTCCAAGTACGTTTTTCTAGTCTGTGGCTTATCTTTTAATTTTTACACAGTGTATTTTGAAGTGTAGAAGATTTTAATTTCTAAGTAATTTAAAAAAATACATTTTTTTAAGGATGTGTCTTTGGTGTGAGAATTTTAAAATACAGCTTTAATTCCTCTTGAGAGTTGAGGGCCTACTGTTACAGGTAGAATCATATAATATGAAAATTCATCATCATCATGGTATCATTGGTTCAGTATTGATCATAGAAAATAATTTTCAGACCATTTTTATTTTCTTCATATATTTATGGTAAACTCATTGGAGTCATTCTCTTTATAGATTTACTACTGTAATTATACAAGAAATACAATAGAACTTTATAAATGTAACTATTCCATTTGTAGTTGTTTAATTGTAATAATCCTTTTTTCCCCAACCTTATCAGCTCCCCAGATCTTTAGCCTCTACTCCCACTGCTCCAACCAATCCAGCAACGCCAGACAATGCATCACAGGAAGAACTCATGGTTACCTTAGTAACAGGATTAGCTTCTCTCACATCTAGAACTTCTATGGGCATCATCGTTGTTGGAGGAGTGGTAAGAAGTCCATTTTAGTATAATTAAAATTGGAATTTTTGCAAAGCTGTCTGCTAGATCACAAAAAGAAAGGTATATTTACTTTTATTTCCAGGATACTGTATAAAATGACATGAAAAGTTGTTGGTTAAAATTAGTGAATAAAGATGAGTTTCACAGGTCTAATCTTAAGTTTTTAAAAATACAAATTTATTTATTTTAAAATTGTAATATAATTAACAACATAACATTGTATTCTAGGCACATAAGATAATGATTTGATATACATATATTGCAGAATGATTACCACAGTATACATTTTTAACAAATACTTTTTTTTCCTACTTTTTTTTTTTTTTAAGATTTTATTTATTTTTTTAGAGAGCGAGCGAGAGAGAAACAGCATGAGAGGGGAGAGGGTCAGAGGGAGAAGCAGGCTCCCCCTTGAGCTGGGAGCCCGATGTGGGACTCGATCCCAGGACCCTGGGATCATGACCTGAGCCGAAGGCAGACGCTTAACCATCTGAGCCACCCAGGCGCCCTTTTTCCTACTTTTTTGTTGTTTTTATTATGTACTACATTCATACACTGCATAACCTTCTAGAAGGGGTAGATGAGTATGACTGAGTTATTTTTCATCAATCAGGAAAATGCTTCCTTAATCGATATTCTCCAAACCCTTTGACACATAGTAACGATTAACTCCAGAGACCCACCTGTCTCTTTGCATCAAACTCCACTGATATGGGTAATAGGCAACCCTTTTTTCTTTGCCCCCATTACTGAACCTGTGGATGTGCGCCTTGGCTATGCCGGGGATGACCAAGCACACGGCCATGGCGCCGATCCCGGGCAGGATCTCGAACGACATCACAGCACGGTTGCCAGAGCCCAACAAATACTTCTTTAGGGAAAAAAAATACCACCAACCATCTAGTCCTTAAAACAATGCTTCCTGTTTTCACTTCATAGCACATAAAGAAATGATATTTGTACTTTGGAGTAACAAGAATGATTCAAATCCTTATGACCAAAGGGATCTGCCTGAAAGTATTAAACATTATTTTTTAGTAGTTTTTCTTAACTGTTAAAGGTTTTTTTTTGACATCATTAACAACATAGGCCTTACTTGTTTTGGTTTTTAAAATCTCTGACCTAAAAAAAATACACATCCCTTTTTGAGATACATTATATCAACTTAGCAAATGTCTGGCAGGTTATAAAAATTCTTGCCTGATAGTTATGTACTGCTCCTTTTTCATCTTGATTGATTTCCACTTCAGATTTTCTCACAGAGAAGGAAATACATTTTTTTAAAATATGGATTTGAGTCAAAGATCTGTGGGGAGCTGATGAATTTGTTAAAATGCCTTAACGTACAATCTCCCTAGTGGTGATAGTCTTTCTCTAACCTGTGAATTTCTCCTACAGATTTGGAAAACTGTAGGGTGGAAACTCATATCTGTTTCACTAAGTATGTATGGAGCTTTGTATCTTTACGAGAGGCTAACGTGGACCACGCATGCCAAGGAGAGAGCCTTTAAACAGCAGTTTGTGAACTATGCAACTGAAAAACTGCAGATGATTGTTAGCTTCACTAGTGCAAACTGTAGCCATCAAGTACAACAGTAAGTTAAAAGATGTGTCTTTATTTTTTGTTTTTAAGGATTATTGATGTATGACGTGTAAAAAATGCATAAACAAGAGTATAGCTCAAAAGAATTATCACAGTGTGAACACATTCTGTAATCACCACCAAGGTGAAAAAACAGAATGATATCAAACAAGTGGGATCAAAAATGTGTGATGGTGAGTGTAATTTATTTTTACTGTCACAGCCCAGAGTTACAAGTTTAAATTTTGTTGTTGTTGTTTGAGAAAGAGAGCTTGCGAGCAGGAGCCAGGGGTAGGGGCAGAGGAAGAGGGAGAAGCAGACTCCCCGCTGAGCAGGGAGCCCAACACGGGGCTCGATCCCGGGACCCTGGGATCATGACCTGAGCCACCCAGGTGCCCCACCGGATTTATAAGTTTAAAGGCATAATTCTTTTAGAACTCAAGAGAATTTTATAATATACTGGGGTCCACTAGTTTCTTTTATATATCTTAAAATTTGTTTCATTGATTTAATAAAAATACATAGAACTCCAATTAAGTCAATGCATAATACTCTATATTTGGATGCTGCTGAGAGCTGAATTAAAATGTTTTCTGAGCTGAAGATGATTGTGATTTAATGGAAGAAATACCATGTACATAGTTACAATAAAAGTTGAAAAGTGTTAAGTAATGTAAGTGGTAAGTAAGCCTCATAATACGAGGCTCTAGAATTTTATTTTTTTATTATTATTTTTTAAAGATTTATTTATTTATTTGACAGAGAGAGACACAGTAAGAGAGGGAAGACAAGCAGGGACAGAGGGAGAGGGAGAAGCAGGCTTCCCGTGGAGCAGGGAGCCTGATGCGGGGCTCGATCCCAGGACCCTGAGATCATTACCTGAGCCGAAGGCAGGCGCTTAACGACTGAGCCACCCAGGCGCCCTGAGGCTCTAGAATTTTAAATCATGAAGGATAGTGGGTCAAAAAAGACTTCCCACAGGAAGAGTAGCCTAATGAGTTTTAAATGTGTGGAATAGGAAGATGTAGGCAGAGGAAACACCCCAAACCAAAAGAAAGAAAATAGTGGGGAAAGAAATGTGTTTGGAAACATGAGAAAATTTCAGTGTGGTAGATGTGTATATGAGGGGGGTACATTCGAATATAAACCTAATACTAGGACAGGAGCTTGGATATTTGGGAGTCCTGGGAGTGATGTCTTTGACATTTAGCTCTAGAACAAATAACTGCAGTGGTATGGTGTATTGAATGGTTTAGGCTAAGGAGACAAGAGTTGCAGGGAGATTAAACTTTCAGACACAAGATCAAAGCCTGTACTGACATAGTTAGAGCTGCAGAGAATGGAAACAATGAGGGCACAGATTGGAGGATATTTGCCAAATATTTATTGAGCTCCTGTCTTACACAGTAGGTTTTATTTATATTAAGATCTTTTCTCTAGTGGAGGTACCTAGCCCTCCAAAGGAAATCAGCTGAGGTTACATATGTAAAAACAAAGTTAATGAAGCTTTTTATTCACTTGATCATTTGTTAATTGCCTGCTGTGTGCTAATAAGTATGCTAGAGGTGGTTGTAGGAAATATAGATAACTAGATCTCTTTCTTAGAAGACTTTACATCCTTATGGAGGCAGCCTTGAATAATTACTCAGGTAAAATAATACTAGCTAAATGTTGATTTAATGAAATATGAAAATAATGAAAGATGCTTAAGTTGTCTAATATTGATATATGGTGGAATGGGTTGAGAATGGATAGGAAAAAAGACCATGGGAAATATGAATATACACAGGAGAATAGTTGCAGAGAAAAATAAGTCAGTTAATCGTATTCCAGAGGTACTCACATACTAGGCATGCTCCCAGTTGCAAAAATAACATGTTTGCCAAAGCTACCATATTAACTGGCACACAAATTAAGTATAGCCCTTTGGTTGTAGAAACATGGTTCAGTATTGCTATGATTTAAAGTATTTTTTTGTCTAAGTCACATAAGCTCATGAAATTTTCTTGCTTGTTCTCAGTAATTGTTATTTCTGTAGACAAGGGACGAGTGAGGCTTATTGTGCTTTTGAAGAAATACACCCATCTCATGCCTTTTTATAGCTTATTTATATTCACAACCACATATTAGAGGTTGATACTGCCTGTTGAGCATTTGTCTTGAGGCCAGATGAAATTAAGCCTACAAGTGCCATACCCTCCCTCATAACATTCTTAACAGTGTTCTTTGATATCTTATGTTTTAGGTATATTTTAAACTTGCAATCTTTCTATATAAGCTTTAAATTAAAGCTTCGTTCATTTTTTTTAAAAGATTTTTTATTTATTCACTTGAGAGAGAGAATGAGATAGAGAGAGAGAGCATGAGAGGGGGGAGGGTCAGAGGGAGAAGCAGGCTCCCCGCTGAGCAGGGAGCCCGACGCGGGACTCGATCCAGGGACTCCGGGATCATGACCTGAGCCGAAGGCAGTGGCTTAACCAACTGAGCCACCCAGGCGCCCCAAAGCTTCGTTCATTTTAAAAGACATTCATGACTGCTGAAAAAATCATTTTTTATTTTAAGGGAAATGGCAACCACTTTTGCTCGCCTATGCCAACAAGTTGATATTACACAAAGACATCTGGAAGAAGAAATTGCTAGATTATCCAAAGAAATAGATCAGCTGGAGAAAATACAAAACAGTTCAAAGTTCTTAAGGTATTTAAACCTTTTTTCCCAATAATACGAACATTTATTGGTCTAATTACCTGAATATAATTATGTAAAATTACTAGTGAATTTGTATTAAAACTTTCTACATTGGCTTAAATTATTATTGTCCATATTCCATATGCTTTCCATTTTCAGTGAAACCTAATTTCAACAAGAAAAAGCAAATCTAAAAAGATTAAAAGGAATTTTTTAGATCTTTATCTAAAACTTTAAGCCATACTAGTCCCCATTCAGAGCAGAAGTTTTATAATTAAAAGTGCAAGGTTTTTGTTTTTGTTTTTTTTAAGATTTATTTTAGAGAGTGGGTGCGTGCTTGCACACTTGTACCACCTGTGTGAGTTGGGGGGTGGGGCGGAGGGAAAGAATCTTCAAGCAGACTCTCTGCTGAGCCAGGAGCCTGATGCAGGGCTCAGTCCCAGGACCCATGAGCTCATGACCTGAGCCAAAACCAAGCAAGAGCTGGGCACTCAACTGACCGAGCCACCCAGGCGCCCCCAAAATGTGAGTTTTTAGTCCTGTGTATTCAAGACCCTTAACTTCCATTTTCATTGGGGGACTGTTGGGTGTGCTTAAATTTGAAGTAACAGAAGTAAACAAGATATCCTAACGCGCAATTCTTTGGTTTAATATTGACTTCTCATGGATTCTGTGGGGTCTAAGTAAAGTTTGCCTTTGGGAACCTGACCAGGAGTGTCACATGAGGTGACTACTTCTTTTTTTTTTTTTTTTTTAAACGTTTTATTTATTTATTCTTGAGAGTCAGAGAGACAGAGAGGCAGAGGCAGAGAGAGAAGCAGGCTCCCCGCCTAGCAGGGAGCCCGATGCGGGACTCGATCCCAGGACCCTGGGATCATGACCTGAGCCGAAGACAGACGCTTAACCATCTGAGCCACCCGGGCGCCCAAGGTGACTACTTCTTGGTAGTTCCTGACTTCAGCTTTTACCCCTTAGCTAGCTCACCAAGTAGCAGTAAGCGTCAGTTAATTCCTGCTGCCGTTTACCAGGGCGTGTGCTACATACAGTTGCCCATGTAAGAGCAGCTTGCAGTGTCTCCAAATTGAGCTAAATTTTGGGACATACATCTAAAAAACGTGCAGTCGAGTCTATCCACGGTGTCTTAATCTGATCCGCAGTGACATTTGTCATCGCTCCTCAATTTCATAATCTCTGGAAAAGACAACCGCCTGTCACTTAGACCCCAACCTCCTTATACATACAAACACACCCAAGTAAATTTCTTTATTCCGTTCCGCCTGTTTTAAGCTAGATCATCTCAATGTCTTTCAAATTTAGTAGAATTTTTTTTTACTTAGGTGTTTTTTTTAGTAGTGTTTCATCTTGTTAGAGTAAAATGTAAATGGTACTATTGGCACCTGCTGTAGCTGTTTGATTTTGACAGGACTGACTTGGGTAAGTATGAATAGTTTTGATCTGCTAATCCTTTTCCTAACAGAAAAGTTTAAAATAACAAATACCATAATGTTTAGAACCTCCATTGTTACTAGATTAGGCTCAGAGATTCAGATAAAATTTAATTTACCTCATGCTTCAGGACAGTTGCCTGAAGACGCATACAGTGGAGTCCATATGTACATTAACTCATATGACCTTGACCATATGCACCGAGCAACAGTACAAGACCAAGAGAAAAGAGAGCAGCTCATTCAAGTATGTGCGTGCCCTGGCATAGTATGAGAATGGGAGACACAGTCTGTGTTCCTCTGTCAGTGTTAGTTCCTGTTTTCCTCTTGTTAGGGTATTTGGCTGCATCAGGTATGATTCTAGTATTAAAAAAACTTTTGGTATACCATGTCCTTTGACATCTGACAGCTACTTTATGTATACAGAAAATGTTATTCTACACTATGTGCTTAACTTAAAGGGGAATTCAAGGACAGTTAGGACTGTGACTTAGAATATAACTCCCATGTAAGGTAACAGGATTCCGTTGTCTCTTAGGCTTTTCATTCTTAAGTTTTTGGTTTTTATCTCAGTGTACCTTTTTAAAGTTCTGGACATTGGATTCTGTGTTTACAGCAAAGCTATAATAGCATATATACATACTCTTAAAAGGTTGATAATAGTTTAATCTGAGTTCAGATATTAGAGCAGCACCTGACTAGTGATTTTCTTAAGATTGGATGGAATGCATTTTTTTCTCATTGGCTTTTATGATAATTAGATTGGTGTTTTATTCATTTTTTTAAATTAGAAATAAAGCTGTTCAACTTGAAAATGAGCTGGAGAATTTTACTAAGCAGTTTCTACATTCAAGCAAGGAAGAAGAATCTTAACAGAGATTGCTTTGGTGATCATCATAGGAGAAAATGGAACTTGGAAGACTGGGGACAGTTGTTTATGAAATGACTTTAAATATGAATTATACTAACTGTACCTAAATTGCAAATCCTTGTGTAGATTCTGGTAATGATCTGTCTCAGGGTGTTTGCATTTCTGAAGAGTGTTATGATGTATTTTTAGTTTTAATTTTGGGTAAAGAAAAGGCTAAATTGTGTTTAAAATGATGAATTAGTTAAAAGCAACAGAACCAACTATGTGACCCCTGAGGGGTGGGGCCTCATTCTTAATTAGGGCTCTCTTTGTTTTTGATTCTGAAAAACTCTGCTTCCTGGCATCCAGGAGTTAGAGAATGCTCCTTTCATCTTAAAACTAATTTTTGATGCCTACCTTAATGGGAATAGTCATTTGTTTTTTGTTGTTTTATAAACTGTATTGCTCTATCAAGGAGGAGTGTGGAATGTTCTTGAGTATATTGTTTATGCAAGTTACAATCACTTTTGCCGTCCTGGCAGGTATGTAAACCACTAATATACTGTTTTTACTCCCTCTTTTTTCCCATTAAAACTGATGTAAAATAGTATAAAGGTTTGGTATCATAAAGTCTCTCATAAAAGTATCGGGGTCTGAATAGTTTCTAAAGAAACATTTTCCGCTTCAACTAGGATTAGGGCAAGGAAACCTTTCTACTCAGTTTTAGGAATAGTTTGATAAAAATAGCTAAAGATATGGGAGCTCTGAATTTTCGGTGGTTATGGTCATGAACAAATGTTATTCTTCAGAAGGTATTCGCCAAGGATACTGCTGGACTGTCCCTCTGGGTGGCCTTTATTTTTATTGAATGAATTTGCCAGGGCACTGTTAATACTAAATTTTTAACAGTGAAATGTTCATGAGTTCAAGTACTGTGTCTGTTTCTGTGTAAAAATTAATAGAAACTTATTTGGAAACATAAAAAATGGCATTCTAGGGCTTTGCTACGCAAAATGTAGTCTGAGGATCACCAAAGCAGCAGCATCTAGATGCTTGTTAGATGCATGACGACAGTGCATTTGGCCAGGGATGGTTTCTGCTTCTCCACAGAGCAATACCATGTTAGGTTCTTTTATATCCATAATACTCGATATATCCTTTCTTGTGCCTTCAAGGCTCCTGGATGCCACTCAGTCTTTTCATAGCAGGTGCAACACTGTTTTCCAGGATGTTTTAAGGAGAAAATTACATTACTTAGGTCACAGAAGCCTTTCAAAAATATGTTTTTATGCAGATCATATACTGGGATACAGTATTAAAATCCAAAAACTAGTTTATAGCTTTGGTTGTTGCTTTATAACCAAAAAACAGTACAAGCTACCAACAAATGGAATTAGGTAGCAACTGCCACGTGAAAAACTGATGTCTAAGACTGGGTACTGCGAATTTAGGTTACAAGTTTAAGACCTTAATCTTTATGTGAAAGTACTTGAACTTTTTGAAATAGCATCGTGGTTTGGTATCACCTCCTTAGTAGTAGTACAGTGGCTGTCAAAGTTTGGTCCCTGGATTAACTGTACATCACTTGTGAACTTCTGAGAAGTGCATACTGCAGGGTCTCCCCCTGACCTACTGAATCCAGTAGTGTTGCAGCCTGTTTTAACAAGCTGTCCAGGTGATCCTGAGACACACTCAAGTTTGAGAACTACTGAAATAGTGATTCTGGTATAGTGAAGCTACAGTAAGTTCTGCAATACCAGTTTGAATGCAGTTCCACCTGATCAAGTTTGAGAATGCATGAATGTTGGAAACGTAACACTAAAATAATGAAACCCAACCTTTAGGCCTGCAGATCTTTGCACCTCTGACTAAGCCCATGAATTATACGGGAATTATGTAATTCACAGCTGTAGTTCAAAGTTGTTGCACATACTTGATGGTTTACTATATATGTTTGCAGGATTATTTATAACTTTGTATAACCGTAAACTTTTTACAGAACTACATTTTTATAAGTATGCAAGGTGAAAATAAAACTTGTTTGCCTGATAGTTGATAAATGTAGCATTTATACTGGCAGTGAGTTTTAATCTTCATGTTTGCAGTAGGCATGTACAGTATCTTGGGTAGACTGGCTCATGCACCTAGCCAAGTAAGGAAGTTCCCTCGCAGTAACTTTGTAGCCTTTTAACAGTAGGTAGCATTCATAGTGGTAAGGAGTAGGTTAAGGAAAGGAAAAAGGCTTGGAGTTTACTTCTGAGGCTTAATTTTTAGTGTGATTAAGATTTTATTTATTCATTTCAGAGGGGGTGGGGTGGGGGGAAGCAGAGGGAGAGGAAGCAGGCTCCTCACTGAGCAGGGAATCTGAGCGATGCGGGGCTCAATCCCAGAACCCTGGAATCATGATCTGAGCTGAAAGCAGATGCTTAACCAAGTGAGCCACAAAAACACACTACATGAAATCTGGTTAAAAGCACTTTATTGATTACAATATCAATTCACAGCAACATTTCACAGAGCTACTGTACAAATAAAGGAATGAGTCATTGTGCAAGAAAGATCCAAGAATACTATTAAATCATGGTACAAGTCCACAGTTTGGCTTAAAGCTTTTATGAGCTTTAATCTACGTTCACCTTGCCCATAGTCCTACTACTGACATTCAAAGTCAATTGGCTACAAGTTTGTAGAAACCACTGTAGGTGAAGAAAAACATTTTAATCAGCTTTAAAAACCCACTTCTATGTGGATGCCTTTGGATAAGAATATGCGAATCCAAGTGTTCAGATGCTTTGAAAACAATAGAGCACCATTGTGTAAAAGACAAAAGGCTTGAAATATCTACCAAGTATCACTGAAGTTCAATTAAAAAATAAATACTATATGATGTAAGATTTTGTGGGGGACACTTAACACCAGCTGAAACACATAACCAGGTTTTTCATGATGCTGCATTATAACTATTTTATAGGATCAGTAATTGGATTTAAGAAAAAAGACTTAGGAAATTTTATCAACATGCAAACAAATCTGCTAAATACAAGGTGTACCATCAATCTGTGACTAATAAACTTTTAAAAGATGCACTGCTAGCTTAGACATTCAACTACAAACCATTTTAATGAGTACCTATTGTAACCAGTATTTTTAGATATACCACAGAATTTAAGGCAACTCAAAATGAGCAGGAGGAAAAACTAGTAAATATGAAACATAATACACCTAAACAATCTAATTTAAAATACCTATTTTTTTCATTGTGCTACTCTTTCTCACAAGAAAGATGGTCTAACCTTTGAGGGTGTTCTAAAAAATTCTAACAGTTTAAAATTTTGCTTTCCACAATGGCAAAAGGGAAATTTGAAGCTGAACACAGTACTTGATTTAAAAGCAAAAATTTTTAAGCATGACTTATACCCTAAAGATTCTAGAGAGAATATTGTGAAAATGGTAGGCCCATTTAGAAGGCCCATTTAGAAGATTGTTTAATCAATTTCCATAAGTTTAAACATCAACAGATAAGCCACAAGTATTCACTTGCCTTGTAATTTAAAATGTGAAACATTCAACAGTAACCAAAGCATAAATTTCCCTGAATGTTTTCACTTTTAAAAAGGTTAATAACAATTATTAAGTCTAAGACCTCAATACTGTTGGAGAAGGCCAGTTATAATATTGGCACAGTATATTTTAGCAATAAAAATTTCATTGTCACCTGGAGAAGGCAAGATCCATTTCTCTTAATAGGTTAACTTTAAAATTGCTTAACACGTTCCAGAAGCACCTACATCCATGTCTAGGATACCAGTTTACTATCATCATGCAGTATCAGTTCAGCTGAGTCTACATTAAAATAAGGAGAACGGCCTATTAGACTCTTAGAATTGAAATACTAAGCCCAAATTTTTGCCTCTGTGAAGATGAACTCAGTGTGGTGCATGGGACCATGGGATCCAAACTAGAAAAATCTGAGTGAGGGAGGGAGAGGCCTTGGATATTCAGTCTAAACCTCTAATACAGCTGCCAAAAATGAGGCCTGCCTGTCCATCAAGGTGGAGAGGTCTTTGCTATCAGCTTTTGGGACGATCTGCGGATCCACAGGGCAATCACTATCACTCTTTTTAGAAAAGAATATGTTCTCTTAAATTATTCTTGCCAGATCTGAAAAAACCACTCTTTAGGAAGTGATTAAGGAATCTATAAGTAAACATGCTGAGGCATATTATGTTTAATGTTTCTTATAAGGTAAAAGAAAACACGCACCAGATAAATGCAACAATCCTGATGCGAATTCTTTAAAACTGTACAGTAGTACTATATTACTCTTACTGGTTAAAAGTCTTAATGCTCAACACTTGAGACTATCAGCTGAACTCAAACTGCAAGTAAATGTATTTAGCAATTGGAACCTATATTACTAGAGAGCAAAGGTTTAGAAGTAAGTTAATGTGGTAATGAGGTCACCATTTGGTCATATGTATATAGCCACAACAGTGGTTGGGTCTTAGTTGCCTACTACACATTTAACTATGGGACTGCTTTTAAGCTTATCTACAAAGACTAACTCATTCTATCAACATGCTTAAGACCATGGATTTTCTTGTAGTCTGTGCCTCTCTGACAAAATTATCTTGTTATTAGAATAACTTTCAAAGAGGAAGAGATACTCTCATATATACATTATGTGGCTATTTTGCACATGGCAGAGTGCTTTCTTCAACAGGATTTTGGAATGAATTGCTGAGCTACACGGCAAACCCTCACCTTCTTGGGAAATGAGTATGTTCCTTTAAAATATTCTTGCCTTACCTCAAAGAGCTATTCTTTATGAAATGACAGTCCACAACATTAACTGCAAAAAAAGTTCACAGAAATCTTGTATGTGTTTATAAGTACACATTCATGCCTGCCATCTACAATATATTTATATTTTTGGTCCTATATCTTAATCTTTACCCATTTCCTTTTTATTATCAGCTATCTTAAAACTGATACAGACTTCATTATAGTTGATGCACTTACTAGCACAGTCACAATATAAAAATGAAAATTCACAAGTGAAATTTGGGGAGTACTTAGATTAGGGTTACATGTGATCATAAGTTGAGACCTATCTCAATAGT